TGGAAAATAATACATTCGTTTCACAAAGGTAAAATCATTCTGCTGACAGTTCTATTTTATTGAAAATCAATTTTGATGGAAATTTTGACCAGCTCTAAATATAAAGTCTTGAATGTCAGGAGCACTAACAAAACTTTACTGTTATTTCAGTGACACAGTTTACAGGTGACACTGCAATTTCACATGGTTTTGCACTTTATTGCTCCTGCAGAAAGTTGCGTATTTGGAAAAATGAACCCTTTAGAATCAGGTATTTGTCCAAAATTTAGGATTAAATAACATTTTATTAATATGAAACCTCCAGTCAGATTCTGCTATTTAAAATGCATTTTACTATAGATACCAACATTTACATTAATGCTGATTTGCAGTTCTGCAGAAATCATTCCAATATCTCTAGTCAAAGTTTTCAAAATCAGATACCTAAAGCTCAACACACAGATTCACAAATAGACCCATTTGTAAACAGACTGATTTTGAGAGGTGCTGAACACACACAGAATTTTATTTAATTGAGATGTAAATGTGAGTTTAGGAACTTAACTTTCAGTCAAGCTTAGAAGTGTTAAGCCCAGCTTTCAACATAAAGAATAAGAGGTATTTTTACCCATTTATGTAAGAGTGTGGGTGTACCTGAATGCTTGTATGCTATCATACATAATATATTTTCTCACATACCACATGCCCCCAAATTGGACAACGCATCTTGTTTTGAGAAACCAAAATGAAGAAGTCTTCCCTGCCACAGCACAGGATCACCGTGGCTGAATGCCTCTGGGTGATGCATCACTCACCCTCTCCTTCCAGCTCCAAAGCTCAAACTTTAATGCTGTCAGAGCTATTGCCAATTTGGCTGCTTGAGCTTTGGAGCTGAAAGGAGAAAGAGAGTGACACTGAGAATGTCACAGCCCCTGGCAGCCATTATAGCATCCCCATGTTTCCATTCTGGTGCAGAAATAAGCTTCCACACTTAAAAATTCACCCCAATTTTGCTAATTTCTGGGGGGAAAGGTGTGTGTGTTATGTGAGTAAATACAGTATTAAAATTAGTTCATTCACTCCTCTCTGAGTTACTTCATCTGTGTATTGACTGTTGAAGCAAGGCCAGCAATTTGGTGGCACATTATCATGCATCATATTATGTTGCACTAATTCACAAAACTTATAATAAAATGCTATGAGTCTGTCTTTAAAGACCATATTGTACCACATCTGCTCATTTTACGTGAATTGTCTGGATGCTTTAGGCTTCTTGCCCAACATTTTGCCATCCATGACCTTGCTACATAGTAACATATAAAAACAAACAAAAGCAAAAAACCCCAAAACAACAAAACAGCTTATTTGGAACTTTTCATCATAGAGAAGAATATGCTGACATTTCTATGTCTTTCACAAGCACAAATAATGAGATCATATTTAGAAGTCCCACGGCTTCTGATAGCTATCTGTTCAGCTGTTTTCCAATTTCTGTAATTTGCATATTCAAAATACCTACCAGTAATAGATCCAACAAAACTTGGGCTAGTTTTGCTTGGTACATGGCAATAATTAACTTGATCCATTTCCTACTGAAGTTAATGGAATCTGTATCTGTAAATCAGTATTTACAGTTGTCCTGAAGTGCTGCCTTTGATCTGGTACTTCAGGAATTGAATCCACAAGCTATGAATGATCAGAGATAGAAGATGGTATGCTCTGGGTAGACAGTAATATGGGTTGCTAAATATTTCCATTGCTTAAAGCTTGCTGTCATTCTATGTTGGGAGGTACCCACAGTTTTTTGAAATTGTTTAGTCCATCTTCAAAAAAATGTTCATTTTAATATCAGTGATGACATCTTTCAAAAGGAATGGTAATAGCTATGCCTGTGACAGAAAGTCTATTACTGTCAAAAACATTAAAGTTTACCTTCACAGAACTGACAGAATTCATTAGGAAGTGCTTAGAGTTTCAAGGCTCCTTGTACATGCATTTTAAGTTTGATATCTTTACATTCTTTGAGAGAACAATGAGATTTTTATTTTTGACAATGCTGACAAATACCACGTGTTAACTTTTTCTGAATCCAATTTTATTTTCTCTCTGGATGCACCCTGGATATCCCTTCCCTTATTGTCCACCTCTCCTTTTCTCAAGCATGCAAGTTGTGATCCTGTATAGAAATTGGAAAACAGGTCAGTGGTGTTCAACTTCCAGCCCACTGAACTGTCATCTGGCCTGTGGCCCTCCCTCAAGTCCAGAAATTTGGCATCAGGAGAGTGGCAGTAGCATTAATTGCTCCAAGAGCCATGGCAATTAATGTTTACATTGCTCCCCCATCATCATTGCCAGACCCATGGGAGCCCCACAGTCCAGATGATATGGCCCTATGCTCCAGATGGCTCCAGTGCAGGGTCACCCCATGACAGATTCAGGGCACAGGGGTGCATAAGGTTACCGGATGTGGGGTGGCCCACAGGATGCGCCCACTGTGTTAAGCTATTTGGTTTCCTGTATCTCCAATATAACAATTTAGCTATTTTAGCTCACAAACACCTCTAACCATTTTTTCTGTCATTGCTTCTTAGAGGACATCTCCTCTCAAGGACTTTTGGGGCTTCCTGTTTTCAGGGCCTTCTAAAAATATATTACCTCTAATAGGTCACTTTTCTGGCTCATGCCTTTTTACTGAACTGAATAGAATAATCTTAGTCTTAAGTATTACTGATAGCCCTGTGTTCCCTTTATTACCTATGTATCTGACAATGAGCTGTATCCAAAAGTGAGCTGTGAAAGTCATGCATACACCTTGATGGAACCATTGTGTACCTTAAACAACTGATTTTTCTGTTGTGTAACTGTAACTTGTAAATATTCATGTGATTGTCTTTCATTGGACAGTACAGTACTAATATCAATTTGTGACTGACACAAATGCTTTAACTACTCTTTTGGCTTATTTCTTAGAGAGTTTCGCTGATAGATCAGTCAAACATCTTCCAGCCAAAAGTGTTAAAATAGGGGGTTTGTTAATGGAGAATGACACCAGTTAAATTCAGAATCATGAGTCATTCTGACCATTATATCAGGTCTACTTTCTAAAACAAAAATATAGTCTTTTACAGGATAATTTGCCATAAAATGATTTCCAGGATAGAAAATTCAAAGACTTAGCTCTTTTTGGGTACATCATTGATGTTATAACTCCAAATGTAATCTCTCAGTCTATTTGGAGCACTTAATTTCTATTCTCTTGTTTAAGATTCTGTAACTCTTAATTCCTGGAACTTAATGGGACTCTTCATATAAACACTTGTTGACATGAGAAATGGTTATGGAACTAGATGTTTAATGGATCTCATAAGCGTCATGATCTGGGTTATGCACCTATATACTGTGAAGGGGTTTAAAATGCTCGCTTGAAAGCATTCAGATGCTGGATTGAAAGATTATTCTAAATGCTTAGGAAAATCTGTTAGATTTTTAAGGGGATTTTAAAGGAACTGGAGTTAAAGCTGTCTCTTCCAAGTAGAGGAAATAACTATGGTATCTTCAGTAACAGTATGATAGCTGTGAGTAAACATTGCTTTTTTTTAAATATGGTAGACGTTGTGTGGTATATTGTCCTATAATTTATAAAGATTTTAAATCCTCAGAATCTCCCCCTTGGAAAGATTCTGCATTTTCTCAGCCCTCAGAGGCGAAATTATTAGTGCTGAGGTAGGCAACATTTCTTTAAAATGTGCTGAGGTAGGCAACATTTCTTTAAAATGTGTTTCAATTTGTCGTGTAATATGTCGGTAACTGACAGGAAGCTCTTAGCTGACAGCATAGAAAATTATCATGTAGTTGCTTAACAGGGAGTTGTTGCCAGTACACTTTTCATGTACCTTTAATTAAGAAAAAAGGCGAAGCTTGTACTTTTTGAACAAGTTTTTGAATCAGATCAAGTTCAGTATGTTATGTCTGATTTAAAGCATCAGAACACAAAGCTCATCCAGCATTTGGCAAACTTCCCAAAGCGCTCTCATTAAAATGTTCACATATTCTTAAGAACACTCTTACCCTGATTTTAAAGCCAGCCAAACATTATGTATGTTTCAGTACTAAACCATCCCTGCAGAACTTCCTTTTACCAATCCTCTTGCAACTTCTCACATTTAAGCCCAGTAACCTTAGTAACTAATATGTCTTTTAATCTTGAAAAGGCTCCCTTCCTCTATACAAGTTGTGACCCAGTAGGACTACAGGGTGCCTCCAGGGCTGAAATTCTAAAACTATCAATATGTTTTACTTTTATCAGTGAGGCAGTGGAAAAGTGTTAATCCACTGGAAGAGGCAAAAAATCCAGAATCCATTGTTTAAAACTAATGTGTACATTTTTTATATAACTGGAATTATTTCAGTCTATTTTTGTGCAGTCCTGCTAATTCATACATTACCAATTGTTTCAAAAAATCTGATGGAAAATTTACCTTGTTTAGGAGAAAGGAAGGGTAAATATTTATGACAATTGCATAAACCTTATATGACTATGCTTTTATGAGCCAAATTAATGGGGTGTTTTTGCCTGAAAGCCTGCAAAGAACAATTTTTCCAACTATTTAGTTGGTCTAATAAAATATATCGTATCTACCCAAAGAACCTTGTCTGCCAAATTAACAGTGGCACTCTCAAATCTCATATTTATGTAAAGCAGAAAATTCTACAGTTATCCTACTCAAATTTCAATTCTAGATATTAAAACATAAAACACATTGTGAATATTTATCCCAGAATACTGTGGTATCTGGCATTGCTTCCAGTACTCAATGGATTCATTTTCTTTCTGCTTTCCTACTTTAATATAGTGTGTGATTGATTGATTTTCTAATCTATGTGAACATGAATTTCCTGGGAGTGTTTAAAAACTTACATTTCAGTGATCCTCCTACGCACAGTAAAAGGCAAAGGGGAAAGGGTTTTTTTATTAATTTGGTAATATGTTTTCTTTTCTTATTTTTTTTCTCAAACCTCAGCTTGGAAACCAGAAAGTAACTGCCAATGTGATGGAGGTAAATGCTTCACAGACACACAGACAAACTGCAACAGAAGCTTCTCCACTGCCTCCTCCTTCTGTGGTACCAGTTAACAGAACCTCTTTCTCACCAGACAATGACACCCATCTAGCATCATTTACTTTGCCAGCACTTGATGATATTTTGCCTTCACGCTTTTATAAAACCCCAGCCCTTTCACATTTTTCATATAAATGCCCTTTCATAGCTCCTGAAAATATTATCCACAGGAACGAAACAGCCTCTGTAATGACAGACTCTGCCATGAGCGAGTACTCCTCCTGCACAGTGAGTGAGTCCTCCACAGCCATTCTAGATGAGCTGCAGACTTGTAACTATGATACTACTGACTGTTCTGAAACACCTTCCCCAACCTTGAGCCAGATGTCTGCTGTGTCAGATGGTGCCACCTTAACCACCACTGCTGCCACTTCTCATGTAATTATCCTTCCTTTTTCCTCCTTCATTTTGTTCCAAAAG